GTATGTTCCTCCCCAACGGGATCTTGGGTGAGCCCGTCGTCAGTGAACTCCCCCTGGGGGGCAGAAGCTGCGGCGTGCGCCTAGCGCGCCCGATCGATTCAGCAGCCCTGGCCACGCACGGACGGGAGAGAATCGCGGGAATCAGGAGCGCGAAGGTCAGGAAAACGAAGAGCAGGAGAGGTCGAAATCGCCGAAACGAAGAGCAGGAGAGGACGAAACCGCCGAAACGAAGAGCGAAGAGCAGGAAATCGAAAAAGCAGGAAGAGCCGAAACCACCGAAAATGTGACGACGGACGGCGACGGCGGCGGCGACGACGACGGTGACGACGCCGTTGCCGTCGCCGTCGCCGAGACCTCCGCCGCCGCGACCGCCGTCGCCGTCGCCGTCGCCGTCGCGGTCCGTCGTCGTCCGTCGTCGTCGTCGTCGTCGTCGTCGTCGTCGTCGTCGTCGTCGTCGTCGTCGTCGTCGTCGTCGTCGTCGTCGTCGTCGTAGTCAGTCGTCGCCGCCGCCGTCGCCGCCGCCGCCGCCGCCGTCGTCGCCTCCGCCTCCGTCTCCGCCGCCGCCGCCGCCGTCGTCGTCGCCGCCGCCGTCGCCGCCGCCGCCGTCGTCGTCGCCGCCGCCGTCGTCGCCGCCGCCGCCGCCGTCGTCGTGTCCCTCCCCCTGGCAGCGGCCATAGGGAAACGAAGAATAAAATCCATTGCCCCTGACTGGCCAGGCCCATCCTGGGCCCAACATGAGCGGTGCATGCGCCATCCTGGTTTGGCCAGGGACGCAGGTGCCCAGGATGGGTCTGGCCAGGGGCATTGGATTCTATACCAAATTCCCCTATGCCGCTGCCAGGCGGCGACTCGTCGCCCGCCCGACGGCGCGGTTCTTGCGCGCTCGCTCGCCGCGCGCCAGCCTCTGGTCACCCCTCTGGTCGAGTCGTCTCGGCTCGAGGTGCTGCCGCCACCGCGGCGCGGCGGGCGGCGGGGGCCCGCGCGCAGCACGCGCGCGGGCCAACCCCCTGCAACCCCGCCAGGCTCGGCCCGCCAGGCGAGGAGAGTAAGAGGATGGAGACGACGGGGCAAGATGAGGCAAGGAGGATATGGAGAAGGCGGCAGGGGGATAAGGAGGGAGATTTGAAGCATATTAGGGGCCCGGGCAACTAGAGGGGGCGATCCCCGCCCAGGCGGCCCAGGCGGGCGAAGATACGTCGCGCGCAAAGTAGCACCGCCCCTGCAGATTAGTGCTCCCTCGGAAGGGCCCGCGCGGCCAAGAAGGTGCCACCGCCCCTCAGGGTGAGGGCCCCTCAGGGGCCAGCTCCCAACAGGCGTTGCCCTGCAGGCGCGGTGCCCCTCTGCGAAGTTCGGAGGAGTGTGGAGAGAGGTGGAGCGTGTAGGGAAGTAACTTGGGACAGACATGGAGAAGAAAGGCGGATTGGGTGGAGGGGGTGGCGATAGGAGGGGTCAGGGACTGTAGCAGCACTGTAGCAACTGCGGGGGTCGCCGATGACTCGATGACCCCCTAGAAACTTGATGGGGGCCCTGCCAAAGCTGAGCCTCCCGAGCGAAGGCCAGCGAGGCTCCCTCTCTCCCGCTCACTACCGCTCCCTCTCCCTCTCCATCCCTCCCTCTCCCTCCCTCCCTCTCCTATCCTGGCCTGGACAAGGGCCCCCCATTCTACAGGGCCGCTCGGCGACGAAGTGCGGTCGAGCACCCGATTCCGCATCTCACTTCAAGAGATGCTTCGCACGCTTCCACTGATCCTGATTCGCCGCCGCCGCGCGGCCCCTACCCGCCTTCGCCTTCTGGGGGAGCTGACCAGGCTTCAGCATCTGGGGGAACGCAGGCCTCGCGAGCACCTTGGGCTCCACGACCTCATCGCTCAGCTTGTCAGCCGCAACGGCGAGGGAGTAGAACTTGACCTGCGGGGCCCGCGGGGGTTGAGCAGGGGGGGGAGGGGGGGGGGGGGTCGGAGGGTGGGCGAGGAAGAGGAAGATGTGGAGGAGGGAGGGAGGAGGGGGAGGAGGAGGAGGAGGATAAGGGGGAGGAGGAGGAGGAGGAGGAGGAGGAGGAGGAGGAGGGAAGGGAACCACGGTAACCACGAGTAGGAGGATGGGAAGGAAGAGGGGCCCAAGGAGGGGGACTCCGCCTTTCTTCACCCTCCTCCAGCTCCACTTCCCAGCTACGGTCGCTGCTGCGCTGCTGCTGCTGCTGCTCCTCTTCCTCATCCTCCTCCTCCTCCTCCTCCTCCTCCTCCTCCTCATCCTGCCCCTCCGCATCGCACCCGCCCTCTCCCCCCGCCGCCCTGCCTTGATCTCCATGGTCTTCGTCTCGGTGAGGGCCACGTAATTGAACTCGAACGTGCGCTCGCAGGTCTTCACCTCCATGTTGATCTCGGGGATCGTGCCCAGCTTCGCAACCTCGCTCTCCCATCTCTTCGTCCCCTTCTTGTCCGCGGCAGGCGGCTTCAGCGGTACCTCGGGCGCCGTCCCGACGAGCCAGGCAGCGCAGAATGCGCCCGTGGACTCAGGGTTCCCGCACTTGTCGGCCACGATGTAAATCTGCTGGTCGAACACCTGGGCGACGGGGAGTGCCCCTTCCACGGGCGCCGTCGTGACGGTGCCAGCGAAGTTGAGGCGGATCATCGGGCTCATCTTGTTCGCCAACACCTTCCACACTTTCTTGGCGGCACTGGCGCCGGCGCCGCCCTTGCCCTGGGCGGGCGTCGAGCTGATCAGGATATGCTCGTGCCCGCGCTCAGGCCCCGGGAGGGCGACACTGAGGGTGGGCATCATTGCAATCTCGAAGATGTAGGCCTGCAACTTATGCAGCAGCACGTCCATCACTGGACCAGACCCAGACCCTGCCGCTAGATAGGTCTGCTCGCACCCCGCATGATCCGACGCCCTGGTGCAGAGAGTTCGCAGCCCACCGAGCCCCTCCACACACTGCCAGCGAGGAGGGGCTCAGGGGCGCGCGACGCTCGCAGCGGGCCAGAGCGCTGGAGAGCTGAAAGACAGAGCCCATCTGACCTTGACCATCACCAGTGAGCGCCCCCCTTACCGTCGTGATCGGGGTCGGCGCCATCAGCCCCTGCTGCTGGCCCGCCTGCTGCGTGCCCTCGGTGCCCTGCGTCGCCTGCTTCGTGTCCGTCTCACCCTTGTCCGCAATCATTCCTCTGATGTCCTCCCTCAGCTTCTGGATTGTTTCCTTGCGCTTGCTCAGGCTCTGCTGCTCCTGCCCATCACCTCCCTCCAAGAAGCTCAGATCCGCCTCATCCCCCGTCACCCCCGCGCCAGGCTCGGCGAAGATGGCCTCCGGCGGCGGCGCGGGCTCCGCAGCTGCGGCGGCTGCTGCAGGCTCCTGGGGCAGGGGCGGCCGCTCCTGCTCGAGCTGCTGCTGCGAGCCCGAAGCGGAAGCGGGCTGCGAGCCCGAGCCCGAAGCCGAAGCCACGAGCGGCGAGTCCTCCCAGATGGGCCACGACTCCTGGCACGGGGGGGCTGCAGGGCAAGCAGGCAGGCACGAGGCAGGCAGGGGGGGATCAGAACAGTAGCCGAGTATAGAGGCCTCCTAGATGGGGTCGGAGTAGATGGGGTCGGAGGATCGCGCCGCATCGCCGATACATCGGCGATGCATCGGCGATGCATCGGCGATGCATTGGCGATGCACTGGCGATGCGTCGTCGACGTGGGCGATCATCGGCGACGCCGGCGCGGAGAAACTCGGGCTCCGCATCGAGCCGCATCGGCGATGCATCGGCGATGCGGCGCGATCCTCCGACCCCATGGGAGGCCTAGAGAGTAGCAGGAGGAGAAGGAGGAGGGAGGAGGGAGAAGAGGAAAGGAGGAGGAGGAGGAGGAGGAGGAGGAGGAGGAGGGAGGAGGGAGAGGAAAGGAGGAAGAGGAGGAGGAGGAGGAGGAGGAGGAGTGATCACCCATCGGTCCTCCGTCGACGTGGCCTTCCTCACTGCCGCCAGCAGCGCCGGGCGGACATGCACAGGGTTGGTGTGCAGGCACTGCATCCAGAGGCCCGTGAATTTCGACGCAGGCAAGCGGAGCTCGCAACTCACCACTGCGGGGAGCTCCTTGAAGAGGGTCTCGACCTGCTTGCTGTAATCGGAGACCGAGATCCTGCCCTCGCCGCACATGAGCTTCTGGATGAGATTGAGCGTCAATGCCGCCCTCCGCTGAAAGACTTGGTCAACCGAGACCGCGCTTGGGAAGATCCCGCCCAGGGAGTCCTCAATGGCATCGTCCGGGCCCAGATTCGCGACGACGTCGAAGACCTTCACCCCGAACGCGGCCCAGTGCTCGTCGAAAATGCCGTAGATCTTCGGGCCCATGGCATTGAGCACAATCTCTGGCGGGATTCTGCCACCGCCGTGGTTCTTCATGAGGATGGGCAACTCGGCCGTGAGCTGGGCGACGACTTGCATCGCGTCTGAGCTCATCATCACGGGGACCTCAAGAAAGTGAATGTAGTTGGCGATAAAGCTCATCACAAACCTCTCGTCGGTGAGCCAGGGGTCCAAGTCGGCATGCCGCTGCGCGGGCTCCTCGTAGTTGTCCTGCATCATCGGGTCCTCGCCTGCGCCGAGCACGTCCAGCACTCTCGTAGCGACGTCGTGAGAGGTGGCGGAGGCGGCGTCGGCCAGCGCGGCTGGCTGGGCGACGGCGGTGCCAGTGATCTGCGTGAGAGCCAGCAAGTGCGCCTTCACCGAATCCTCTTGCAGCACCTTCCGGACCTTGCTCCAGGACCTTTCGGCAGCCAGAAATCCTCCCCCCCTTCCCCTCGTTCCTCCCTCTCCTCCTCTTTCCCCCTCCTCCTTCTCCTCCTCACTCTCCTCCTCCTCCCTCATCTTCCACCTCGTCCTCAGTCCTCCTCCTCCTCCTCCCCCTCCTCCCCCTCCTCCTCCTCCTCCTCCTCCTCCTCCTCCTCTTCCCTCCCATCCTGCGGATGGATGGCTGGGGGGGTGTGCGAGGCGGGTGCCCTGGGGGTTCAGGGCGGCCCAAGACTTGAGCTCCTTGCCGCTCAAGGTGATGGTGGACAGCAGCGCGAACTTGACCCCGTCAAGGACAATGATGATCACCTGGGGCTTGTTGATCTGGGACTCCCTCAGCGGCCGCAAGGGCGCCAGGGCCGCTTGGAACAGGTCATCGAGCCACAGCATCTCGCGATCGACGCCGGCGACGGTGATGGTGCCCTTAAACTCCTCTTCCACCTTCTTGGGGTCCTTTTTCTGCGGCTTCGTGGCGCGACCCCTGCCCGTGCCCTTCACCTTCTTCGCATCGGGCTCCTCGCCCTTCTTCTCGGCGTGCTGTTTCTCCTCCTCTCTCTTGCGCTTGGCGGCGGCGGCCGCGTTGGCTTCCATACCCTTCACGTAGGCAGCGCTCTTCCCAATTGGGCATCTCAAGACACTGAGCTGCCTCTTGGCCCTCGCGAACACGCCAGGGTTGATGACGCCGCCGTAGTTGGCCCAATCAGCATCGCTGCAGTCCTCGACCAGGGGGGTGCTGAACTTAAGCAACATGAGGGCCACCTCCTTCAAGAGCCATTCGGGCGCCAAGCCATTATCGGAGAAGTGTTCCACAACCACCAAGCAGAAGTTCTGAACCTCGGCCATGATGTGGGGCTTGCAGCTCTGGTCCAAGAAGTTAGCCTTCCTCTCCGCCCACTCCTTCCACTCGGAGTAGATGCCCATGGCCTTTGCTTTGTTGTGGGTGCCCTTGCAAGCCTGGTAGTGGTCCCACCCATTAAAGTAGCCCTTGAACTTTTTCATAATATGCGCCTCGTACATCTTCTCGTACCGAAACGGCCCAGATTTCGGGCATGAGTCCGTGCTGATGCCTTCCTTGCGGCACTTCTCCCTCCAGCTCGACTCCGCGTCATCGATCTTCTCGAGAAGCTCGAGCCAAGTAGTTGCGCAGCCGGCGATTGTGTTGTAGAAGTTGTGGTTGTTCTTGATCCACTCACACCCGTCTGGCGGCGTGATCTTGCGGAACACCACTGCTCCTGGCACGCCAGTCTGCATGGCCTCTTGGATGTACTCGTTATTGGGTTGGGTCTCCTTCCCGAGGTACACCGCCTCGACCAACGTGCCGCCGGCGAGGAGGGAGAACTTGCCGTCGTCCTGGAGGACACGCGGGGCCGCTCAAACGTAAAAGAAAAGTGGAAGGCGAGGAGGTGGAGGCGGGGGGGCAGGAGGAGGAGGGGAGGGCAGGGGAACAGGGACGACAGCAGGAGGCGATGGCAAGCAAGAGGAGCGGAGCGAGGACGAGACAGGGACGAGCGGACGAGACGAGGCGGTGGGAGCAAGTTGTTCGTCGGGGCGGTCCTCTTGAACTGCGATCGCAGCCCCCCGACCAAGCCAGTTGCACCCGAACTCGAGCACGCCCTGCGCGTATTTTTTGACCGTGTTGTCAGACTTCCGAGCGTTGTGGCGGTTGCGGAAAAGAGCCCTCTCGTTCGGCTTCCCCTCGATGTAGTACGGCAGGGTCCTCCGCTCCGAGTAGGCGTACAGGCGCAAGCACTCCCTCCAGCGGCGACTGCCGTCCACGCCCTTCCACCTGTCCTGGGGGCGGCGTATGGACAGGGAGGGCCCCAACTCCCGCCTCCTCCCATCCCTCCCCCTCTCCCCTCTCTCCCCCATATCCTCTCCTCCCTCGCTATCGGAGTTGGGAAGCGGGGGAGGCATCGATCGATCGAGTCGAACGTTTAGCGAGCCGCATCCTCGATCGTCTCGTGGGGCTGGAGCACCGAGTAGTAGCGCTCCCACCACTTGTCCCCGACCTTGACCTTCAGCTGCGCGTCGGTGAGGTCGCCGAGCACCTCGCCGGGGCAGACCTCCATGTCCGGCGCCGCCACGTCGCCCATGTTCAGCGCGGACCCCGCGGACGCGGCCCTCGAGGACGCCATGCTTCGCCTGGCGGGAGGCAGACTGGCAGACGGAGACGGAGGATAGTGAGGGCGAAGTGGAGAAGGGGGGAGCGGGAGGATATCATGAGAAGAGCTGGCAGAATAGAGATGGAAGCGGGGGGCGGACGAGGGGGGCGTGGAGGGGGCCGGGGGGCGTGCGAGGGCGCGAAGACCGTGGGAGAGGAAGCAGAGAGGCAAAAGGGGGAAACGAAAGTGGAGGGAGAGGGGGCAAGAGGAGAGGGGCGGAGAAGGACCGAAGGATCCTCGAGACATGCTCTCACCTGACCTGAGCGCCCCACCCTCCACGGGGAGAAGAGGCAGTCGAAAAGGGGCCTCGAGACATTCAGGTTTTTGCAACGTCACTCACCTAGTCCTGAAGTGCACAGCCGGCTGAGCTCGTTAGGGCGTCCGTTCCCCCTCCACCTCCTCCTACTCCAACTCCTCCCTCCTCCTCTTCCCTTCATCCTCCTCCCGAAGGGTCGAGTCCTCCTCCTCCTCCTTCTCCTCCTCCTCCTCCTCCTATTCCTCCTTATCCTTCCTCCTCCTCCTCCTCCTCCTCCTCCTCCTCCTCCGCCGCCTTCAATCCGCGTGCTCTACGCCTCTACCACGGCCGCGGCGCTTGCCGCACCATGTGCGCAATCGAATCTGCCGCATGGCTCGCCTCAGATGTCATGCCATCTGAGCTGTTGCTCTGGCGCTTTGACAGCACCCTGCGCTTCTTGGCAGTCTCGCCGACGGCGACGGCATTCTGATGGTGCCTGGCGTCCTGCAGCAGCGCGGCAATGGAACTCCCGTTCCCGTTCTCGAGCGGCTGATCGGTGATCTGCCCCTTCAGCAGCGAGAGCATGAGCCAAATGTAGGCGAACCCCAGCGACTCCGTAGCAAGCGACATCCCGTTGCCGATTTGGTTCAGCACAGCCGCCCTGCGCCTGGGAGGAAACCCGTAGTCATCCCGCTCAGCGTTAAATGAACATTTCAATCCATAGGTGCAGAGGTCTTTCTCGCGGCCAACTGGATAGTTGTGGACTGCAATCAACTCCATTGGGCCCAGCCAGCGCCGATGCTTTGTACTGTAGTAAAGGTCGACGTGCTTCGTAATTGTGTGCAACGTCGGTTTCCCATTGTTGAAACGCGGGTTGGCGAGGTAGTCCTGGTCTAAGCAGCAGATGCACATGCCACCGGTCGACTTGGACGCCTCCACGTACCTCCCCACGTTGAAGACCTCCTCGTCCTTCAAAGTTGAGTCGAACTCGGACTTGTCGAACTGCGCGCGCGGCGGCCGTTCCCCTGGGGGCTTAGCCGCGTCTACCTGGACGGTCGGGCGGCCCTGAGCCCACGCCAGCTCTGCCTGTAGAGAGGGGTCATCGCGTGGAGCGGTGAAGTACGACTCCCAAGTGAAGCGGCACTCTCTGGCCGACCAATCGACGAAGTCCGACCACGCGCTGCCCAGTACAAGGGATTCGGCAGCCTGGACTGTGACGAGCTTCTTGTGGAACATGATAGTGAGCCTCCGGGGCTTTTCGTAAGCCTGGCCGAGCTGACTGGGGCACACCACCCTGGTCATGCTCTCATGGATCAGATAGTACTGGCCGAGCTCTTCAATGAGAACGCTCAAAGGGCAGAGGTCCACATTCTCGTGGTAGATGATCTTCTCCTGGATGAGCCGGCGCTGAGACACCCACGAACCAAACGCCAAGACTCGTTCGCCGCTGCACCCAGAGTGAGGACCCTGAGCGCTCCACATCTGGCATTCAGTGCCAGCTGCATGGACGTCCGCTTCCTCGGCTACGCAGGAGCGACTGGGGTGGACGCAGCAGGCGCCAATGGGCATGCGCTTGACCGCGGAGTTCTTGTGGCGGAAGATGCGCTGCAAGCCGGCCCAACGCATAGTCGCCGCCTTTTCTCTGAGCGTCGGTAAGATCTGAGGGTTCAGACAATCGTCGACATCGCAAAAGATGCACTTCGGCTTGTGCGGCAACATCATCAGTTCGTAGCGGCACTCCACGCTGTTATCACACGCCCACAAGGTCTTGAACTGCACCTGGTCCATCTCGTAGCCAGCGAAGAAAGCCATCGCGTGAACACACCCCTGGGGCGATAACGAAGGACCTGCGAGCGACGGTTCCGCCGCGGGGACCGCGAGGGCGCGCCGATGGACGCGCCGCGCCATCTGGCAAGATGGCGCGGCACTGCATCCAGCAGCAATCCGACCCGCGGGGCCCCAGGGCCGAAGCTTGCCATCGAAGGTATTTCGAATGCCCATGCCTGCGCGGCAACTTCAGCGCCGCCGGTGCCGCTGAAGCAAGTAGACAGTGTCGTGCGCTTGCAGGTGCCAGCCATCCGCTCCAACGTAACGTCGTGGCCCTGCCTGCGAGCGAAGGAAAGCGCCCGCTCAATGCTGTGCTCTGCCCACCTGCTAGCTGACTTCAAATCAGCGGCAGCCGGCAGCTGCTTGAGCGTGCTCAGACTCATGACGCCGCCGAACCCCAGGAAGTCTGGGGGCCACAGTAAGACTGCAAGGCGATATGCTTTGAGCCAGAATGGCGACGCGTGGCAGCAGCCGCAGCTCTGGCCATCCTGGGAGCCCTCTCGGGGTCTTTCGCGTTCCTCCTCCTGGGCTCAAGAACCCTCAAGGACCGCCTTGGTGCCGTCTTGGGCGCTTTCTGGGCTCCCATCGGCCGCCTGAGGAGCACATTGAAGGCCCTATTGAAGGCCTCTCGGGGCAATATGGGCCAATAGTTGGGCTCTCCCGGGCTGTCCTGGGCCCATGTTGGGCCCTCATGGTGCAATCTTGGGGCAGCCCATGGCAAACCTGAAAACCTTTGCCTGGAAACCTAAACTCTCAAACATATCATGTCCTTGGGTGTTGGAATAGTTGGAGTACGTTGCCCATCCAGTTGTGGTGGGTTCTTGTTTTGGAAGCACCCGCACCGCGTCTACTCTCATCCCTGATCTCATTCATCCCATCATCAGAATCGCTACCACCAGTTAACTTACCATTACCATTACCGTCATCATGATCTTCGCCATCATCATCGCAACCATCATCGCCATCACCATCACCATCATTATCACCACCATCATCATCAGCATCGTATCTCAGAAAGCTTCGCTAAGGGCATCATCATCATCATCGTCAGCATCATCATCAGCATCATCACCATCAGCGTATCATCCTCATCTCAGGGGCCCTCAGCGAACTTCGCTGAGGACAATCCCAGAAAGGCCCTAAGCGAACTTCGCTGAGGGCATCAGGCCCTCAGTGAACTTCGCTGAGGGTTCTCCCAGAAGAGCCCTCAGCGAAGTTCACTGAGGGCCCAGGGCCCTCAGCGAAGTTCGCTGAGGGCTCCTCTGGGAGGGCCCTCAGCGAAGTTCACTGAGGGCACATGGCCCTCAGCTAAGTTCGCTGAGGGCCCCTCTGGGAGTGACCTCAGCGAAGTTCGCTGAGGGCACAGGGCCCTCAGCGAAATTCGCTGAGGGCCTTGAGCCCTCAGCGAAGTTCGCTGAGGGCTCCTCTGGGAGGGCCCTCAGCGAAGTTCACTGAGGGGCCGGGGCCCTCAGCGGAGTTCGCTGAGGGCATTTCGGGCAGGGCCCTCAGCGAAGTTCACTGAGGGCCCAGGGCCCTCAGCGAAGTTCGCTGAGGGCTCCTCTGGGAGGGCCCTCAGCGAAGTTCACTGAGGGCCCATGGCCCTCAGCTAAGTTTGCTGAGGGCCCCTCTGGGAGTGCCCTCAGCGAAGTTCACTGCGGGCACAGGGCCATCAGCGAAATTCGCTGAGGGTCCTGAGCCCTCAGCGAAGTTCGCTGAGGGCTCCTCTGGGAGGGCCCTCAGCGAAGTTCACTGAGGGCCCAGGGCCCTCAGCGAAGTTCGCTGAGGGCATTTTGGGCAAGACCCTCAGCGAAATTCACTGAGGGCCTAAGGCCCTCAGCTAAGTTCGCTGATGGCCCATCTGGGAGTGCCCTCAGCGAAGTTCACTGAGGGCCCAGGGCCCTCAGCGAAGTTCGCTGAGGGACCTGAGCCCTCAGCGAAGTTCGCTGCGGGCTCCTCTGGGAGGGCCCTCAGCGAAGTTCACTGAGGGGCCGGGGACCTCAGCGAAGTTCGCTGAGGGTTGTTCTGTCAGGGCCCTCGGCGAAGTTCAATGAGGGCCTGAGGCCCTCAGCTAACTTCGCTGAGGGACATTGGCCCTCAGTGAAGTTCACTGAGGGCGTCTGGTCTCAGAAACCTCAGCGAACTTAGCTGAGGGCCTCAGGCCCTCAGTGAACTTCGCTGAGGGCCTTGCCACGGAGGCCCTGAGCGAACTTCGCTGAGGGCCATGGGCCCTCAGTGAACTTCGCTGAGGGCACTCCCAGAGGAGCTCTCAGCGAACTTAGCTGAGGGCCATGTGCCCTCAGTGAACTTCGCTGAGGGCCCTCCCACATGAGCCCTCAGCGAACTTAGCTGAGGGCCATGTGCCCTCAGTGAACTTCGCTGAGGGCTATCCTGGATGAGCCCTCAGCCAACTTAGCTGAGGGCTCTGGGCCCTCAGTGAACTTCGCTGAGGGCCGCATGTGGGAGTGGCCTCAGTAAACTTCGCTGAGGTGCATGGTCCTGATCATCATCATCATCATCATCATCATACTCATCATCATCATCATCATCATACTCATCATCATCATCGCCATCCTCATAGATATCATCATCATCAGCATCTTGATCATCATCACCATCGTGATCATCATCATATTTGTCATAGCCACTCCTCTTCACCGACAATTAGTTCCTATGGAGAACACGCCCACCGAAACCACTCGACGAGTGATGTGGCACATGTCCGTCGGGGCACACTATGGCCGCCAAGCGAAGTGCGCGCTGCACGCGCACGAGTTGCTCTCATACACATTCACGCACACCAGACAGAGACAGAGGGATAGAGAGAGAGGGAAACAACGAGATATACCCCCCAGCCGCAGGCGAGCCTCGTGTCGAGGTAGTGGTTAGTCTTGTCGAAGTTCACGGCGGGCAG